AATTTTCTGAGGTATTTGAAGAGGGTTGCTGTTTTAAAACTAAATTCAAATACAATTATATTATAAGTTAAATAAGTTATAAAAACATTAATTGAAAAAGTCTCGAAAAGGCTTTATTTCTAAGATACATATGTATAGCAGGGTTTCCACATGTTTAAAAATTCAAATTTAACTTGAAATGTTAGACGAGTGAGGTTTAAAAAGTTGCCAACTGATTAAAAATTTAAATTCAATTTATTCAACAATTTCAATGAATTATTACAATAAGGGAATCAATCGAAATGATTTTGAAAGGGCTTCATTTTTACTACATGGAAGTAAGAAAAAGTATCACAAGAGAGAAGTTTAAGAGTCTTAGATTGAAAATATTTTGAAGATGGTTAAACAAATTTTAAATCTTCTGTCTTTGGCATAGTTTAAGTATGTTTAGTCTTATTGAAAATACACATAATGTAGCACGCAGAAATTTCATGCACTCAGCGAAGCGGGTGAGGGCGATCTAGTCTCAACATAAGTTTTGGAAAACAAATTACAAACAATTGTTCATTCTCACAAAATAAACCATCTCGTCATAAAGAAAAATATTTTAAAAATAGTTTTAATGGGGGTTCTTTTTTTTAACCACTTTTTTTTTATAGAGAATTAAACAAGGATTACGATAGTATAATTTTAAATCCCTAATTTACTGACCTTCACTATGCAAATCAATTTCAAAAAGTCCAACTGTTAATAGCTAAGTTAGCTTTAGGACAATCTTGACCATCTTATATATAGAAATATTAAGCTCGATTCTTTAGCTTTAAAACGACGTTAAGATGAAGTCTCTACGATGGGCAGAACCCGAGATATAACGATTTGAAGGAGTGCATAATTAGTCAGAATCACGAAAAAATGCAAACTTTGACAGATCATATCTCCAAAGAAAAAAGCGAAAAAAATTCCTCGAACATGTGTAAGCTTATTTCATGTATAGAACCCATAAAAAATTTTAAGCCAATCGAAAGTGTGACACCAAATTTGGTGTCCGATATGAAAAAGAATGTCTCATATATAGGTTTTAGAGTCCGACCGATTAATCGGCATCGGCTTCGGCTAGTATCGGCACAAAATTGAGCATCGGCATCGGCGTCGGCCTATTTTCGTCGATTCCTTACCGATTATTTGGAATTTCTTTTCATATGTTCAGGTGAAGCGACAGACCACAGCCAACATCAAAAAACATTTGCAGACTGCTCATAAAAATGCATTTTTTTTGTTGAAGGTGTTTCACGTTTTTTCCATTCAAAAGTATGTTCGACAATTTTCTTTTGTATGGAGGACACTGCCAGCAAAAAAAATTGCCAAAAATTAACCGGATTTTATACCAGTTCGAAACTTACACTTCATTATACTAGAATTAAATCGTCTTCAAAACTGCATACCAAAATTCTGATTAAAAAGTTTGAAATTTTGGTGAAAATAAGCAGAATTTTTCTAATTTAGTACAAAGATTGAAATCTGATTTTATGTGTTGTTTGTTGTATACGTTTTAATAGAACGGCAAGGTTTCCCCCGAGGACACCGAAAAAAATAATTAAACTAAAATATCCTTTGCAATTTTTATCCTTCAATAACCTTGTATATATTAAAAGGATTTGTATTAAACTAAGATTCTTCAAAATGCATTCAAAATTGAAAATCTTGAAAGATAATAATTTTAAAGAACATTTTTGACACGTTCCAAAAGGATAATTGAAAACAAAATTTATAAATAATCTTGTTTTAAATTTTTCTTTTAATCTATAGCCATACTTCTATATTTAGCGTAAACTTTTGGAAATGTATTATAATTTATGGCCCTTTGGAAAAAATCCTGCCAAATGGTAAAAAACTGAAAACGCAGATTTACTAAATATTATGCACTAATACTGTGTGGAGTTTAGTAATACCGCCTTATATAGAAGTAAAATGAGTAAGTTAACAAAACATGCGATAAAGTGTTGCCGTGGTCCGAAATCCATTAAATTCATTTGGATAGTTTTTAAGACAAAACCAATAAAATGAGGGGGTATGCATTAAAACAAATGTTGGTTTTTTGGGACAGTCTAATGTACATATGTACATACCTAAATACCTAGCATATAAGTTTTTATGCATTGAGTGCAAAGGAGTGTATTTTAGTACAAAATGAAGTGAAATTTTTTGTCCCTAAACATTTTTGCTTAGCACCATATAAAAAGTGTTTTATGTAATGTATATAAATGTGATATATGTACATATATTTTTACATATACATACGTATGTACATATATATATATATGTAATGTTGCATAACAATTAATTCAATTATTTGTTTTCTTTTGTTAACTCCGTTAAATTAAATTTTATGAATTAATACATTTATTTGTAATTTTTTTTGGAATCGGCATCGGCCGATTCTTTCCCCATAAGACGATTAATCGGCATCGACATCGGTACCGAAAAAAAAAATGGGAATGGGTCGGATTTTTGTTATATTTGTAGCACTTAAATTAAAAAACAGTTAACCATTCGAATCAAACCGAACTGCGGTTCAGAGGTACTAATGAGCCGGTTCTTCTACAGGTTCAAGTTTTTTCTGACCGAACCGCATCGATTTTTGGAGCAGTTCGGAGCTCTGTGCAAAACACTTACAGCCGTACTCAGAAACATTAATTAAATTAGCTGTAATGAGCACTTAACTACTGATCGTTGAATCTGTTAATTAATGTTTTCTCCCAGAGTTAAAGGATAAAGGTTCATTAGTTAATGAAAAATTTAAGTATGACCCCAGTTGCGGTCCTATTTTTGTGGCATCACTCACTGTCTTCTTTCAGTTTGAAATCAAATATAACAAGTAAAAAAGTGTAAGTTCGGGCGAAGCCGAATTAAATATAGTTTTTTTCACCTGTAGTTTTTCACCAGGGACGGTTTTACCCCTATTTCAAGCATCTTCGATAGTAAGTTCAGTTAGACTTAATCAGATAAACTATATAGCAGGTGCTATCACGCCCATTTTTCAAAATTCCATAATAATGATTTTTCTTTACAAGGAAATCTCGAAATATCGAAGTTTAAGGCATCTCTGAAATTTACCGTTATATAAAAAGTGAGCGTAATTTCAGTCCGATATCAATAGTTATCAAAGTTTCGCTTTTATGTGGCAAGTTCAATAATCATACCGAATTTGGTAAAAATTTATCGAACGGCTACCGAGATACATATATGTGATCAAGAGTGGGTAGTGCCACGCCCATTTTCCAAAAATAACTTTTAAACTTATTTTTGGCTAAGAAATTATTGCAAACATCAAGTTTGAATAATTTAGCCTCAGTACCTACTGAAGAAAAAAGTACACCTACCAAGTTTCGTTAATATACATATCTCAATTTCTACTCGAGTTTTAGTGTGCACAGACGGACGGACAGAAAGTCACGGCTGAATCGATTTCTTTTTTAATTCTGACCATTAATGTACACATTGGTCCATATCTTTATTTGAACAAAGTTATAATACCCTTGTGCACAAGTGCGCTCGGGTATAACAATAAGTAAGGGTATTCATCAAACTTTATAAATGCATTGTAAACCGTATACACTTATAATTGTGTAAACCTTATAAATGAACTGTCAAAATTTGTATGGAAACTCGTTTACACATTTCTGATAAATTTCTCCAGAGATTTCACTGTATAAACTTGATAAACTGAAGCCAATGCAACTCTGTCGCAACTCTAGCTATGTTTTCTTGGGCAATAATCGGGATCCACATAAAAATTTTGCACGCAAATTCAACAACAACGATATGATCCTGATAGAGATCTGGTTCAATTATTAACCGTTCTGTTTGTTTTGTTTCACTGATAATTTGGCCTCAAAGTTTGGTAGCCGTGACAAATGAATTCATACACAAACAGACATTCTACCATTGTTTCTTTTAACCTACGTCGAATAAATAGTCCTTATATTATATGTATATTTATTTAAATAGATATTATCTCGTAAATATATTTTTCCCCCAATTAGTGAGTTAGTTTCTATAATTTCTTTATCCTCGTGCTAGTATTATAAAGTTAGTGATACTGAGCTCTATAACCAAGGAAAACACGACTATTGTCGCATGTGTAAACGAAAAGAGAGTGTGGGTCGTTCATGTAACAGAGTGCACAAACTTATAAGATTATCTGCTTGATAAAGTTATTGGTTTAGATGAATACCACTAGTATTTTTATCATTTTGCCTCAACAGTCGCAATGGCTGAGTAAGCAAAGTACTGGCCTGCCATTATAGAGATCTGTGTTCGACTCCTCGGGTAGGATTTTTTTCTTGTTTAGTTTTTATAAACCTATTTCATACAATTTTTTGCTTTTTTAATTTAGTTTTCTTTAATTTTAAATTTAAACAGGAAACTATTTTTTGAAAATAATTTATTTGTTAGAAACTTTTGGTTTAAAGACAAAAAAATCGCTAACAGGCCAATTCTGGCATCTGCCTTTCAACTCGCCACAGTCTTTCGAGATAGAAAAGTATTTCGTATGACAATTGAATGAAAGCTATTTTCTGTATTTCAAAGGATTAATTGAAATATCTGCTAACGAGGAGGTTTTAAAGTTATTCTGTTTATCTTTTAGCAATAACTTTGCCAAAGATAAACGAAATTTATTTTTTTTTAACAATAAAAACTAAATAATTGAGAAAATTAAAAAAAAAAGAAAAAAAGATTCTAAAAGTTAAATGATATTAAAAAACAGCTTTTTTTAAACAACAAAACTAAAAAATTTAAATAAAAAAAAAGTAAAATTCCCTTGGCGAGGATTTGAACTCGGATCTCTCGAATGGCAAGCCAGTGCTCTACTTACTGCAAAGCAATTGATGTTTTGGAAGTCAGCCTAATTATTAATCGACTAGACTCTGAGTGCGGTTGTTGGATACTATTATTTTAAACGTATGTATAACGCAAGTTAAGTATAGACTTTCTGCTGAAATTATATATATAATCAAATCCACAAGTCGACACATCTCATCCATTGTTCAGAAGTAGGTATATGAATCCAATATTTGCCATGTTTAATAATTTGCGCTGAAAATATTCAAAGACGGCATATGGTAAATATGTTATTGTCCTTTTCCTTAGAGAATTATTAATACGCCCTTGAAGAATGTATCGCAATGTTTGCCAACAAAATTGTCAAAGTTAAAACCTTTTTCCCGCATATACTTATTAGTACTACATTTCGTATCTTCCAGCTTTTGTCTATCTCCTGTATCTACATAGTATATCGGTACCTTAATATAGAAAGACTCTACCTAATATTTGTATTTTTTACAAAGTGATTAAAGAATTAAATAGAAAATCCGGTTCTTTAACACAAATTCCCTTTAAACACTGTATATTATTGAAGGCTGTAACCAATTTTATGATGTGACTATGAGTAATCTACCGACTTTCGTGTCATCTAGGCCTTTTTGATATTAAGGTAACGATACACATATAAAAATGAAATGTCTGATTGTCCGTTTTAGGCTCCTAAACCTTTCATCCGAATTAATTTTTTTTTAAGTAAGGGTAATATCGTTCTAAGTTCAAATTAAATCGATCCATAAATACAAATTTTCTAAACATCTCGAGTCCAGCGCCTGTTTGATGAATTTTGCTCAATTTTGTATAAAGTCACAAGCCTAATAAATATAAAATATGGCAAATTAAAGCTAATGAAATTCTCCATAAACCGTATATACATCACTTTCCGGTACAGCTTATAGTTTCTGAAAAATTAATTAATCATTCCAGCTCCTTTTATTTTATAATGAAAACTGTTATTTTTTAAAGTTTTCTTCTGTTAAAGTTTGATTAAAAAATAAAAAAAAAACTGGAATGATTAATTAATTTGTCAGAAACTATCAGTCCTATCGGAAAGTGATGTATACATGGTTTATGGAGAATTTTATTGGCTTTGATTTGATGTATCTCCTTTTAAGATTATTAAATTGGTTTGTAAGATATACGTGATTAAGTGGAATCACTTTTTGTTTTAAGCTGAATAACGGTAAATTGCAAATATCTCGAAAACGTATCCATAGAAAAAAAATTAACTCGATTTTCGGAATCGCCGAGAAATTCTACATAGAAATTGGATAGTGACATCTGGAGAACAAAACCCAAACTAAAATCTGTGATCCAGTGTAATCGGATCTAAACCAAGTTTGGATGGGACCACTTCTGAGGTACCACCTTTCCTTTAAAAAAGAATCATCGAAATCGGTTATGCAGCAACATATGTACATAAAAAAATATTGCGATGAATAGATAACCTCCTCATTTTCTGTAGTCGGTAAAAAATAGTGAAAAAACTACGATTTTGTTGTGAAGACGAAGTCGCATTTTAAAATTTGCATGCAATTAAGGTAACTAACAAATTTGTATTTTAACTCTTCAGTAAGTTCATAATAAACTTTATGCAATATAAATTCCTTTGTAGGGCTCGGTACAACTCAATTGTTACAATAACAAGTAATTTTTAAGCAAAAAATACAACCGACTTCAATTCTCTTATAAAAATTTAGAAGTGCCGTTAATTTCTTCTTGATCCAATGATCGGATCTAAACTACCTGGAAATCAGTTGACGTGGTCCAAAGTTATGCGGTAACATACATGAAAAAAATAAATATTCTGACGATAACTGATAACCTCCTCCTTTTTTTGAAGTCAGTTAAAAAGGGAAAAATTAATGAGTTAAATTATTATAAATTATCTAATAAAATTTACATTAAAAAAAAATATGAGCCCCACCCCCTAAATTATGCTCTGCATACGCCCATGTCTGTGGCCACTAGCAATAACCGAATAAGTCGATTTTGAGAAGAAACGTTTTAAAAATTTGAATTGTAATGTTAACCTTATGGGAAACCAAAATGTGTTCGTCTATAACTTTTTAATTAGCCTGGCTGGCGAGGTGGGGATTTCACATACACATGCAATAGTAGTTACAGAATACCATAGCATATATAACTCAATTCTCTCTTAAGTCGACTTAGGCGGTTATTGCTTATGACCGCAGATATATGTACATATCTATATAAATACGTATTCTAAATACAATTTATAAAAATTTATAATTTTCTGTGGCAGCTCCGCGTACCACTATTGCAGTGTAAAAAAATAAATTTTATAATAATAATATTTTGGCTCTTACACTTTTGCTAAGTGTTCGGCCGAGCTTCTCCTCTAATTTGCGGTGTGCTTCTTGATGTTGTTACATGCCTCCGAGCGGCAAATTGTTTTTATAAGAAGCTTTTTACAGGCAGAAATACACTCGGAGGTTTGCCATTGCCTGCCGAGGACGACCTATGTTAGAAAACAGATATGGGACCAGGGATCGAACCAAGGTTCGACGGAGTGGTAGTACGCCCATATAACCACTTGGCCACAACGGCCGTCAAGGTACTAATACACAAACTGATTCTCTGACCTCTAATGGCACAATATTTATAAGCATATCGGTGGTTATCCCATTAGGCAAGGAAAAATCGGCTTGAGATATAATTATTTATAATTTTATTATCTACAAACACATAAAAGTAGTATGTATAATTAACATAATTCAGTTAAATTAAAATTTCAAATGAAATGCAAGTACATACGTACATGGGAGACTAACAGGGTGTTATGAAGTAAAGATGCCAGATTTTTCAAGTGCCCTAGTACAGAATTTACCTACGTATGTACATACATTTGAGACCTTAACGGCCAGAGTAGCCTAACTGACATTTCAAAAAAAGTTGAGGTGCACCTTAAAATGCATTACTAGAATCGAAACGGTAATAGCCCGAGCCACGCCCTTAAGTTAACTTTTGCTGTAATACATATGTATGTGGCATAACGTAGGTGAAATGAACTTTTTAGTAAAAGACCACATTTATTTTTTATAGATCATTTTTCTGATGTTACTTAAAAAAAAAAAATTTGTAGAGGACCCTCATGGCCTCATTTGTATATTTAGTCGAGTAATTCAAGAAAGTGAGTTTCGATTTTTTATAATTTTAGCTCAGTATTTTTGTTTAAACATTCCCAGTCTTTAAATGGTTTTGAAATGAAAAATATTTCTACATAAAAAATATGAGCTTTGCAAGGACAATGCAAGCATGTCGAAACTTTTTGAAATATATCGGAAATTGCCACAATTTTTTTAAATTTAGTTTCGTCGATAACATTATATCACTTTTTTATAAATGACTTGAGAGAGAAAACTTTTTAAAACGAGTAAATCCACATACATGTCTGTGGCATTTTATTAAAACAACTTAAGTGAAGTTAGAAGGTTTGACTTTGAATTATAAAATAATAAGTTTTGTTTGAAAATTTTTATATTTTTACTAAGCTTCTTTTAAAAGGATATCTAAAACTACACCTATGGCTAGTTAAACGTTAAAATATTGCTTAGAAACCCAATGAAATATTGCTTTAAAGGGAAAACAGCCTTTCTCGAGATATATTGTTCTGATAAAATGCCATAAATTTGTTTGTATATACATACATCCTACTATACTACACTTACAAAGTTCATCATAATCATTACTGTTACCAATCTAAAGATAACACAGGCCAACAAGGTTTTCTAACCAAGAATCGGACTATACTCTTCCGAAGGTCTTTGATGTACTGAATTCGAATCTGACCCCAGAATAGCCCAAACACGTCGGGTTTTCGAGATATTCTAACCTAAAAGTACAAAAATCACGGTGTTGGGGCACATTTGAGCTCCCGTAACACGATGAAAAAATTTTTTTCCAGAAAGGTCATCTCGTTATCTAAAAGTACCACTCCTCCCCTTCATAATTCATTTTAAAGCTTTAAAAAA